TCGTGACTAGAGGAAGCCTCTAGCACGATGAAGAATGACTGGAGGAAGCCTCCAGCATTCGTGTAGGGTGAATTAGTTTCGTGACTAGAGGAAGCCTCTAGCACGATGAAGAATGACTGGAGGAAGCCTCCAGCATTCGTGTAGGACGACTAGAGTAAGCCTCTAGCGTAGAATAGGATGACTAGAGGAAGCCTCTAGCATAATCTAATGTGACTGGAGGAAGCCTCCAGCACAAAGTATGTAAGGTGATTAGAGGAAGCCTCTAACACCGAATGTAGTGACTAGAGTAAGCCTCTAGCACGGTGAAACATGACTAGAGGAAGCCTCTAGCATGGTAAATAAATATAGATGGGCGTGACTTGAAGTCACGGGGAAAGGGTTGAACGTTTTCAAAGAAAACATGGGTCTTCGGGCCGACTACTTGACTTTATATATAAAGTAAGTATATTTTCAAAGAGGGTAACCACGGGTTATGACCTATAATATATTATCACCCTATTTGAGGGTCTTGGAAATTGAAACTTTGATTATACTTAGTATAGTTGTCATTGTACTTGTCAAATGCTTCCAAGTACTGACCTCCCCTTCACGGGGGAGGCCACCTCACAGTTTCAGGTAGGACTTGAAGGTTGCTACCGCCGCCGTTGCTTTGGGGAGGTTCAAGGAAGGAGACGTGGTTCGTGCTTCTTCCGTTCCTGTTTTGAAAACAGTTTCAAATAATGCTCATGGATACTATTTGAATATTTATTTGGGCTTGTATGCCCGTGTTTGCCACGTGTGGCTTGGATATTTGAATTAATGTTTCCGCTGCTTGATTAAATATTTTGCATTATGATTGTTTATGGATGTACTATTGTGAATGATATTCATGACGCCTAGTATAGTATGGATGAGTTGGACTGCGGTTGACTATTCGTACTGTACGGCGGGTTGTTGACGTGTCCGGTGGGTCCGGGGCGTGACAATCACGTCCTGTTGAAATGTTATTGCCAAGTCGAAAAATGTTAACATTGTCGTTCATAACCTTGTCCTTGCAATTCAATCGTGGATTCAATTGCTCCTTGCCTCTTCGAACCAGAATTCGGACGAAAAGCACCATCACACATTTTAGCAGCGGAAATCTCTCAACCCTAACGTATTGTTTCTCGACTATGTCATGGAAGATTTTTGAGTAAAGGGTCAATTTGGTCCTTGAAGTTGCACAAAAGGTGTCAAATAAGTCCTTATATGGAAGATTCTGCCCGGACGTGCCATTTGAGGTGGCTCCCGGTGGAATTTTTTGATAAATTTTTTTGAACATCTTATTCACTAAGTCTAGTTTACTCATACCAAATTTCAGCAAAAAAATCAATCGGGAGGACATTCAAATGAATTCTTGAAGATAACTGCGCTTTTAACTGCGCAGTTATCTTCAAGAATTCATTTGAATGCCTTCCCGATTGAATTTTTATCTGAAATTTGATATGAGTAAACTAGACTTAGTGAATAAGATGGTCAAAAAAATTCATCAAAAAATTCCACCGGGAGCCATCTCAAATGGCACTTCCAAACAAAATCTTCCATATAAGGACTTATTTGACTCTTTTTTTGCAACTTTGAGGATCAAACTGACCCTTATCCCGAAGATTTTTTAATTAGGAGTTTAACGATATAGAGAGTGTTTGGATCTACTTCTTAAAATTGCATCCGCCCCTTCATGGTGCAGAAACAGATATTGGAGTGCACAGATATTGGAGTGAAAAGTGCAGAAGTACTTTTGGGTGCTCCAAATTACTGATTCTGATTTTACTTCTACTTTTAGAAAAGAAGTAAAAGTAGAATCAATTCAAAACACCCCGTAAAATATAGGCATCTCCAAAAATTGAAATAAGCAAAAACAATTTATCTTATACTCAGTTAGTCACTCCTCTTATAAAATTCACAATATCTCAGACGACATGACTAAAATCGGCAGACATGGGCTGCAACACGGTACTATTAAAGTTGTTTCATTTTCAGTTTATTATTCTCTTTTATTATTGTCACTCCTGAGACAAGATAGACCAGATGACATGACTGAAACGTCGGATGGGGGGCATGTCGTCTGATAATAGACTTGACGAGATGATTGAAATCGTCTGACTATGGACAGGTTCTGACGATATATCTCTACTTAGTTTCATATATGTATTCTTAATTTATTACTTTCCTTTACATATAAAACGATCACTAACGTAAGCATCGGAGGGCCGTTGGCTTCTAGCCAACGGCCGATGTTAAGTCATTAACGAATTCTTTTTTGCACAACAACCGTTGACAATGGACAAGACGATGTCCTAACATACAAGGCCTTACAACACGTCAAAACACAATTGACATGGGGCGTACGTAAAACAAAGCCTTACAACACGTCAAAACACAATTGACGGGGGGCTCACAAACATACGAAGCCTTACAAAAAAACGTCAAAACACAATTGATGGGGGGCTTACATCAAACGAAGCCTTAGAACACGTCAAAACACAATTGACGGGGGGGGGGGGGGGGGGGGGGGGGGGGGCTTACAGAATTTAATGGGAAGGGTTAAGCTGCCCATGAGAATATCATGGATCACAGTCCTAACAGAGCCCATACAATACGGTTTGGGCAAAACTACAGAAATACACAACAGAAGCATGACAAATAAGCTCCAAAACATAAGGAGACACTGGGAACGACATTGACACAAATCATAAACACTCATGTCGACAATATTAATAAAATTACAAACGAAACGTTATTCAAAGTTTTTGCAGGTTATGGACTATGTTCACGCAACCCAACTCGTCATCTTTAACAACAGATGATGTTCCCTTTGCCAACTGAAGTGTTGACATCGACATGAGAGATGTTGCAAATTTCTGTCATCTAGTCGTCAGCACAACTTTGGAGGGTAAAGGACAAAATTCTAGCTTGCATATTTCATTGTTTCAGTTAAGGAGACTAATCTGATCGGAGGTTATTCGAAAGAAAGACAAAAGCAGTTTGGCAGACAAGTTGATCAACATGCCACGATGCAATGAACCAAAATGCAAATTTTACTTTCAAATTTTGAACAAGTTGTTGCTGAATAAGTCGACATGTGCATCACTCGCCCCAACTTCTCGAAAAGCGGGCAATTGTTGGTGCAGGAATTTGACGACATGGAGTCCATGGAGTACACTTGAAAGGTTTGACCGAAGCAATTAATGACATATTAATTACAATTAATGCTGGGTAATTAATTATAGCGGTTATACGCGTATTATTGGAGCTATTAATGTAATTAAAGCAGCAGTTACTTAGAAGAGCTGACCGACATTAATGACGACATTGAATGCCGTCATAAGTCATAACGGTCGAAACCGTCAACAACGGACAAAAAAGGCATTGATTGCCCCTCCTATAAGTAGTATCGAGCTCAGTTGTAAGGGAGGCCTCTCATTCAAATTACATATTAAATCACGCTTTGTTTTGTTCTCTTAGCATCTTTCTTGTTGTTCTTGTCATCTTGTTTACCGTTCTTGTACGAGACCCAATCAATATACAATTTCTATTTTAAGTAGTTTTAGTTTATCAAAATTTTGCTAAAACAAGTCATTCATTCTCTTCCTCTAGGATCATTCCTTAACTACTCAATCACGTCCTGTTGAAATGTTATTGCCAAGTCGAAAAATGTTAACATTGTCGTTCATGACCTTGTCCTTGCAATCTTTGTTAGTAATATACGGTTCGTGAATAATACAATAATACGTACGTTCGTGTATAATACGATACAATTATAGAAAATACGGCTTAATATATGTTTCATACGTTCGTGAAATATATAAAGATACGAACGTGTTTTAAACGTTTCACATTTTTAAAATACGGCATATAATATGTGTCTTATATACTACGTACTAATTTAATGAAAGAAATAAAGAGTTATCAATACAAATTTGAATGCATAGGTACAATAAGTAATAAAAATGACATTGCCTATTTGAGTAGAAGTACGGAGATATTACTAAAGAATAGTTGATATTACTGTGATCGTGAGTTTGGTGAACCACCACAACATTTTTCGATCTCTTTGAAGTCTTGGTATGAGTGGAGAACAAAAGTAATACAATAGTAATGTCGAAACGGATTAAGAATTTAAGAAGCTAATTTATTAAATGTAATGACTATTAAACAATTAACAAACATATAAGGCATAAAGTTTTTTTAAGCAATATAAATAATATTGAGCAGCTCTTGATACGTATTTTATCACTCCATTAGACTTCCGTTTAATGGTGTGTGTTTAAGAATAAAATACGTATCAATACATACAGCACGTGTGTTATACATTTTATCCTTAAAGTACGTGAGTTTTTCAGAATTTTCTGAAAAATTCATAAACGGGGGTATTATTCGTGAATAAAATACGTATCAATACGTACGGTACGTGTATTATACATTTTATCCTTTAAGTACGTGAATTTTTCATAATTTTTTGAAAAATTCATAAACGAGAGTATTATACGCGAATTATACGTTTGAGTGTATTATACGCGAATTATACGCGAATAAACCAACATAGCTTGCAATTCAATCGTGGATTCAATTGCTCCTTGCCTCTTCGAACCAGAATTCGGACGAAAAGCACCATCACACATTATAGCAGCGGAAATCTCTCAACCCTAACGTATTAGGAACACCTATTTTGGAACACTCGTATTGTTTCTCGACTATGTCATGGAAGATTTTTTAATTAGGAGTTTAACGATATAGAGAGTGTTTGGATCTACTTCTTAAAACTGCATCCGCCCATTCATGGTGCAAAAACAGATATTGGAGTGCACAGATATTGGAGTGAAAAGTGCAGAAGTACTTTTGGGTGCTCCAAATTACTGATTCTGATTTTACTTCTACTTTTAAAAAAGAAGTAAAAGTAGAATCAATTCAAAACACCCCGTAAAATATAGGCATCTCCAAAAATTGAAATAAGCAAAAACAATTTATCTTATACTCAGTTAGTCCCTCCTCTTATAAAATTCACAATATCTCTAATGTAACCAAGTGTGCATAGTGCATAACTGCATATTCTGATTTTACTTCTACTTTTAAAAAAGAAGTAAAAGTAGAATCAATTCAAAACACCCCGTAAAATATAGGCATCTCCAAAAATTGAAATAAGCAAAAACAATTTATCTTATACTCAGTTAGTCCCTCCTCTTATAAAATTCACAATATCTCTAATGTAACCAAGTGTGCATAGTGCATAACTGCATATACTGCACGACAGATATGAGCAGCCGACTCATATAGTAAGGGAGTGTTTGCAATAGCTTAAAAAAAGCACTTCTCAGCTTTTGGCTTTAAAAAGTACTTATTTACCAAGCACTATCAATTTTTACTTTTTCTCGGCTTGCGTGTGAAAAGTGCTTTTCCCTTATCTATTACACAAAAAGCACTTATTTTACCAAACACTACCAACTTTTACTTTTCAAAATCACTTTTTTCTCAAACACTATCAACTTTTACTACTAATCACTTTTTCCTTACATCTCCAAAAGTGCTTTTTTTAAGCAGAAGCAGTTGCAAACACTCCCTAAACAATTCATCAATTTAATGATAGCATTGATACCATAGAAATAGTCAACTTCTTTAGATTGCCTCATCAAACTGCTTCTTTGTATGAAGCAGATAAGCTTTTCTATGAAAGCTCCCGTTTAATTTCAACGTCAGTTGCTGACTTTTCAGAAGATTCTGAAGCTATTTCAAACTGGATTACTCTGCAGTCTTGAAAATGTGCATCGCCTTGAACACAAGAGTGTCATATGGATCCATTATTTACTTAGAAAACCTCATGGTTCCATTGCCTAACCGGGCTAAGAATTATCAGTTGTCCCGGGAAGTCTGTTTAGCACATGTGAAGGCCATGAGTCAGTAGAAGACGGGTACCGCGGGCGGGGCCTACTCAGATTGGATGGGAGATTGTGCGCTGCTTCTTCCCTCTCAACCCCACTGTTATCATTAAGTAATGGAACGACCAAAACCGCAGCTGTAGAACTTGTAAGATTGTCATCTGGCAAAGAAGTGATATCAGGGGCTTGATGGCAGTAATGAATATTGGTGTTCTGGGAATGCATTTTCTCATCTATTTCAGCCTGTAGGCTCTCAATGTGAGCTTCAAGTGCATGTTTCTCTTCTTTAAGCTCATCCTTCTCTATGCTCATCTGTTCATTATTCACAACAGATATGACTCGATGAGCGAACAGGTATAATGTACCATAAACGAAGAATAACAGTCAAGTAACACTGAAAATATTTGACAAAAAACATATACGGAACATTTGACAACTAGCATCATAATAAATACCACATTTTATCTGTTGCCATATTTTGAATATCAGATTATATTTCAAATCCTGAACTTTAAAATCAGTCCTCATGCTTCCAACATATGAAAAAAACATGTAGAGATTTCGAAGAATTTGTCCCGTTTCAGTTAAATACCAAACCAAAATATAAGACTTTAGACTACTATCATAACCTTTTTGAGATAACCTTTTAGAATGAAAAACCAATGTCAAATATACTATTAAAATCAATCTGATTCGTAGTCCTTGTGAGGCCTGTAAATGAAAAAATACACTATCATACAAGGGTGTTATACCACTTTTAGAAGGGATGGGCCTAAGCACACCCCAGGTTATGTGGTTAGTTAAAAATGTTTTCTTGTGCCTACTTTTTTAATAAAATAATTTATATGAACTGTTAAATTTAGGCTCACAAATGTATATCACGATTGCCCCGACGATAGACTGAAAACCGTAAATTTAGTTCAAACAAATAATTTTCTTCCATAAGGTGATGTTATTGAATGTTGAAGCGATGTCTGTAGTCCTTACATAGTGAGACTCTGAAGTGAGAGCAGTGTTCTCCTTTTTGAGAGAATCCACCTGTGATATTAGTTCCCCCACCAATCGTATGGTTTCTCTTAACATGCAAGCCTTCCCATAATCATGACCAGATGGCTCTACTCAAATGTAAAGTTTTATATAATTACAAATTAGTATGCTGAGTTAAGACTTCCAATTTGCAACTAGAATATGCTGACCAGATTCTATTTTCCTCACCCAAAACTTTGGCTAGATCTGAGAATAGAGTGTTCACATTATCACGTTTCTGTTTCTCCCTCTCGGCCTTGTGGATTCTTTTAGGAGCTTTTTCACATTTCCGTTTCTCCATCTCAGCCTTTTGTTTTTTTCTGGAACTGCAGCATATATAGATCGCCTTTCTATCAGCAGATTATTATCATCAAAAGTAGAACACTATTTATAAATCCGAGCTCTTTTACTTAATAAATTTTGGATTAGAACAGGGATTTCTTTCAGTGAATCAGACCAAGATCATTGTCATATGTATTAACTAAGCAAGCACTACATTTGGACAGTCCACAGTTGGTCTTTCCCGCTTTGTGGATGAGATTGACTTTAGAAGTTAATATACTTCGTAGTAATTAGAGCATAAGAATTTGTAATCTTGCAACATGGAGGTGGACTACGTTGTACAAAAGAATAGTAGGATTACAAGTACTGTTTTAATTTTCATAAAACTGACTTGCTCTTCACTGGTTTGTTTGTTGATTTGGATTGGTCAGAATGAATGACTCCACTTATATTTAAACTACTTTACCTAGTAGGATTAATTAGATAAAAAATGGTTATAATTTCTGAAAAAATCTCTGCACATCTCTTCTCATTTTAGAGGTTTCAATGGATTTGAACTCTTCCATAACAGCTCACGTATCTCTAAAATTTCTCTAGAGGCTCAGCACTACTCTAACGCTTCTAATAAATTCTGCGCATCTGAGAATTCTCCAAATTATTTTCGAAAACGTGATCCTTCTAAGAAAAAGTTTTAGAATTTCCTAACATTTCGAGCTCAAAGGATCAAAATTTGGAGGAATTGAGACGTAGGGTTAGGTATTGTCTGCAATCAATTTCATTAGTTTCGAATTCAAGGAATTGTTATCCTAACCTGGTGACGACATGAGCAGCTCCATCTTTATCGGCCGTTGAAGCTTCACTGTCCATTCTCTGAATATTGGTGTTAGGATTTTCATACGTTCCTTTATCAGTTTATCCACAATATAATTGGGGAAATTTGACAGCCATAGCGGGCGGAGTACCCTATCCATGCGGCGGCTTGTGGCGGGCACACGATTTTTTCAGTCATCAGGTTCCACCCTGGCACCGTATGAGTCAGTCACGTGTCGTGACTATAATACCCTCAGGCAAATCCTTGTGTGCTCCCTGCCTCCCTGCTATGAAATTGGGTTTATGCGGCAAACACCTCCTAAAATATGAGTTCGAACACATTAGTCTCCTTTGATTTAAAAAATGAATCGACTCTCATGTTATAGATATTCATGCGCAAAATTCCTTCTATGAACAAATTTCATTTTCAAATTAATGAAAAGAAATTAGTTTTCTTGTGTAATTCAGAATTATTGACAAATTTATTTGCATTGGAGGCAAGAAAGGTTTTGGATTCGATTTATAGAATAAATTTCATTGATGATTAGATTTCAATTTAATTTTTCCCGAATAATTTTCATGCTCAAGAGTCTCAGGGATAAGGTTTTATCCTTTTCTCTTTATAATATTATATCATTTAACGACTTACTAGACATATGCTACCCGATTTGTAATTTTATCAATTTCTTATGTTTCAATTTAAGTGTTAGATTTAAAATAATTATTTTTATATTTTTTGTTTTCTTTAACTCGGTAATAAACTTGAACGGAGTATTAATATAGGATTGGTGCACAGCTCATCTGGGGATTAGGGTTTGGTGTTGTGAAGTTTTCTTCGTCAACGATTTATAGTTTTCAGATATTGATCTCTCAACTTCAACAGGAAGGCATAGCATGGAAGGTGAGGAAGTGAGGAAGTGAGTATGGTACAAAACAAATCTATTCACAAACAAATCTATTCACAAACATGAAATTGTGGGGACAAAATGAGCTTGAAGCCTTGAACCGAAGTATAAAATGTGAGGTGCATTTGAACTCAAGGTTGGTTTGGTTTGGCTCATATACATACTAGGTATAGAAATAGCGTTTAGATTCATATTTTAACACAGTTATGCAAACTTGTATTGATCAGACAAAGAGGTATACTATTTAGGGGGTGTTTGGATCTTATTTCTGCTCTTTGAGAGAGCAGAAACAGAAGCTAGAGTGTTTGGGTGAAAGTGCAAAAGTGATTCTGGGACTCTAATTTACTCATAGAATCAGTTTTTTTAGAGGCTGGGGGAGATCAGCTTCTGAAAACTGATTCTGATTGTGCTTCTTATTTAAAAAAGAAGTAGAAACAGAATCAGTTCCAAACACCTCCTTATATTTAAATTTTGGAATTCTCTTTGTGCCCATGCCTTGATGACTTCATTATGCATTACATGAGCAATGAATAGTGAACCATTGTAAGTTTATCTTCCAATGACATCATTAGTCGTTAGAGATTTAAAATATGATCTCTCTTAAACTGAATTTAAGGCAATCATTCATTCATTCTATTGTTGTGGTTACTATTCAAGTTGTTGTGGATTATTTGATTCCATCATTGTCATATTATTAGTCTTGTCTTTCAGTATTTTATTGTCTTCAGCATAACATTATTTTTCTACCGAAATATATTTTCCATGTTCAGGAATGCATACAATATGGTCCTACATAGATTTGGAGACAAGCTCTACAATGGGCTGGTGTTTACTATGAGATCACATTTGAGAGAAATTGCCATCTTTGATAGAGGAATTTCAAGGGGGCTTATTCCTAGAAGAACTGAACTGGAAATAGGCAGATCATAACAAGACATTGCAAATTATCTGGAACATCGTAATGTACATGGACAGAACCTCCATCCAAAGTGCACACAAAAAAACAGTTCACGAGCTTGGGTTGAATTTGTGGAGAGAACGTCATCCAGTCTATCAAAATCCAAACAAGGCTTCAGCACACACTTCTTAAGCTTGTGCGATTGGAGAGGAATGGGAATTGATAAACTGAGGCTTGATGAGGAACATAATACAAATGCTTGTGGATTTGGGTTCATTTGTTTACCAAGAAGACTTTGAGAAGCCTTTTCTTGAAGGTGTGCTGATTTCTACTGTTCCGAGTCTCAAGGATTTATCGAATCATGCGATTGCGAGGGTTACCCTAAGAAAGTTGAGAAACGCCTTAACGAAGAGATTGAGAGAGTTTCTCATTATTTGGATGTGAGAAGGGAAGCTACATAACTAAAGTAGTGGAGAAGGAGATGATAGAGCCACATGCACATATTAGTTCACATGGAGAACTCATATTTGGTGACAATGATTTTGATTTTGGGCGACAACTCCGACAAGTATGAGAACTTGATGAGGTCACACAATTTGTTTGGAATACTACAACCAAATGGACTCTCATCAATCAGGGATCAATGAGAAGTTGGTAAGCAGCTTGTAACCAATCCAGAAAAGTTGAAGGATCCCATGGACTTTGTCCAAAATCTTCTGGATGAGAAAGATAAACACGACAGTATCAGAACTTGCAGGATGCTCAAAATTCATCTTTCGAGTATTTTATAAACTTGAATTCTAGAACCCCTAGAGTTTCTATCCATTTTTTGGATGGCAAGCTCAAGATAGGGTTGAATGTGGTGAGCGTGGAGGATGTGGAGATTGTATTGGACAAAGTTACGATGATATTCCGGTAACTTCAGGAAAAGACATGTTTGAAAAGTACTATAGGCAACACCTTGCCAAGAGGGTACTCTCCGGGAAAATGTCTAACAATGCAGAAAGAAGTCTGATAGTTAAGCTCAAAACAGAGAACAAGAAGCAAAGCTTCTTAAATTTATGACTAGCCGCTCCATCCCTACACCGCTACACTTCAAGTCTGTATACTCTAAAGCAGCAAACCCAAGATAAAATCGATGTTGCTTGCAATTCCAAACACCGCACAATATCTAGGCATAAAGCCTAGCTCTACAGCTCTACTCCAAGTTATATTCAATTATGGTGGCACACATCACCAAGAAGCTATTCCTAGTTGAGACTTGAGACAAGAAACACTACAACCTCCCTATCAATGGTTTAAAAAATATTATTATTAGGGGGGCGAAGGTTGATATTTAAATTTTAAGTACATTGTTAAAAAAATATAAGCACTTTAGCTATATATGTACTAACGTACATGCCAAAAAAAGGGAGCTTTCCCTCCCTAGCTCTGCTACTGCCATATTGGGTAAAGGTTGTGATTCTTGAACTCAGTTTGATTTGTTTGAAAAAAACAATCAGCTGTGGTCTGATGTTGAAATGGATACCTGAACATACCCCTCCCCCTCCCAAATGGCACCCCTGACGGCATGTTTGTTCATTATCAGAAGTTAGATAGACAGTCGATGACTGAAATGATAATATTGAACATTGTAAAGTATGCTTTCTTTACTGAAATATAATAAAATTTTAGGGGTAAAATATTAAAATCACCACAACTCAGTGAACACAAATAAATGAGTAGGATCAACACCTAGAGAGCACCCACTCTAACATTCAGAATAACCGCCCTAGCTCTACTAATAATGTTAAGAGTTCTATCGAGTCTGCAATGACAACACTAATAGTCGCACTTTCAACATTGAAATCTCAGAAGCAAATGGTAACACCACAAGTACCAGCAGAAGATGATGGTGATTCATCTCATTCCTCTTCCTCTTCTACGTCTTCCTCATCTTCATCTTTTCCCTGCTTTACAATGCTCGCTGTGTTAACTATGTACACACAAAACTTGACAAGATTTTTGCAAAACTAAAAAAATTGTAAAATCCATTCTCTACTTACATCTTCATCATCCTCATCTCCGTCGCTATCTTCCTCATCAGCTTCCTGTATGAAGGAATTCAGGTGTCATCTTATTATTAGCTCAAATAAAAATAAACTAGGTACGATTGAACGGGTGCAGAAACAGATCAAAACTTTACATTGTTAAAATATTTCAAGGGATTGGGCCAAAGGTCTTCCTTAATGATCTCTGCAACCTGTCACAATCAAGTTGTGAAAAACAGATTAAGTACTTAAATTCTTTAGGAAAATTGAAAGTGAATGGAAACAAATATTGAATATGAAACTACAAAAACATTTCACAAATGGAACTTACCTCATCGCTTAACCCCTCGGCGATATCTTTAGGTTGTGTTTCCGAGAACCAACTAAAAAAGCTTTTGCAGCAAATAAACAAACAGAAAATATTAGGAACATGTTAGGGCTTACATGACACCAGTTATAGAAAAATCAAACATAAATGCTAGGGTACATAGCCCCAGTTATAAGTAATAACGTGCATGAATATGAACTAAAGCTTAGGTTTGTAGAGCCTTTGCTTCAACTGCTTATATATTTCACATCTGGAATAATTTAAGCTCCATATACCCTTAAACTGCTAAACCCTCTGCCTAAATCTAATCATGTCTGCATAGTGTAGAAATTGGTCCCAGTGGTTGGTGCCATAGACACTTGATACAAGAGTTATTTCACAATAATAACCCATTAGGTAGGTTTTAGTTTTTGGCTTGTTATCAGCCTTTAATCCATTGTTTTCACCAAATAGTAACTACCATTATGAAAGAGTTAGCTGATTTAGGTTAGAATGCAAAGAAGTAGGGCAAGAATTACTTTTTTGCTTATATTAGTGGTAACTGGTAATCAGATTTGAATTTTTAAAAATATTATTTTCAACAATTTTAATCCTTTTTAAAAGACTATGAATTGTTCTTTCTTACATTCTAGTCAAAATCGCGATTATATGATCCTTAATACCTAAACAGTTTACTTTAATAATATAGGACTCTATGTTCTGCCTATTTAGTCTAACATAACTAAATTATTTTGTAATCATATTATGTTCTAAACATCTTACTTTGACTATTATTTATGAATTATTTTCAAGATCTAATCAAGACTATATGCGTGTGTGTGGTGGGATCTTATGATCCAAGATACAATCCTATGATTTAAGATCTTAGGTCCCCTTCTGATCCTACGCAGGATCTCGAGTTTGACTATCATCCTTTCTAACTGTTCAGGTGCAGGTGAAAACATCACTTATATGCCAAATAAAGGCAAAACTCTTTGGCATTTATGCACAGTTCAAATATTCAAGAAAATTAAGTTAGTGATACCTCTCTTCAGGTGGCGGACGTTTGTTTCCTTTCTTTTCTTGATCACACCCATTAGGAACTCCCTACAATTTATAAATTTCAATACATGTCAGAGATAGATATTTTAGTCATTTTAAAAGGAAGACCAGTTTCTAACAAAGAGCAAAGTGTACAGCTGTAGTCATTACCATGCCTTCCTTCCATTTAATCTCCGTACCCGTTATACGTGTTCCTTCCTCATGGAAGGTAAAAGTCTTAACAAGCTTTGTATCTTCGAAATAAGGGTTCTTCTTAAAGGTCTGCGATGTTTTTTTGTCAATGCAGTGAAAGGTAAGAATACACTAAGAGTATTGACGCATATCTCTAATTAATTAATAGCCCTGATAGATTAATAGCATCTTGAAGAAAACTCACAAAAGTGATAGAGTAACCAGAGGCCAAATCTTTGAAATCTTCCACATATAGAGAATCAAAGTACTTGAAGACCTGGGTCATAAGACGAAAGAAAAACAAAATGTGTATTACTTTGAAGTTTGGCTCTTCCAGAGAACAAGAAGCAGAGCTGCTTCTTAAATTTATGAGATGCCAAAATAGATGAAATGTGTGGAACATCTCAGGTGAAACAACAAAATAATTTTTAAAGTCACAATTTCAAGAATTTATGTGAACACAAACCTTTTGGTCTTCATCACACAGAAGATCACTGAGAGCAGGATGACTCATAAACTGCACAAAGAATGTTGCAAAAGATAATATAAATTCCTTCATTCAATATTGAACTACCAATGTACCATTCAAAGCAAAATGAAATGGTCCGGACTCACAGCAATCAACCAGAAGTCAGGAATGGATTTGATTACTTCATTCCGTTTATCATAAACAGGCCTTCTTATCTCATTGTACTTCTGTTCAACTTCCAATACATCATCACTGGCTTGTTCATTCACCTGCAAAGCAACAGCCAAGATTGAAAAACAATTACAATTACGCAAATGGGTAAAACTAGTTCATATACTTCCTTAACATAAGGGAATGCTGGAAAGATCTTTATTTCAAAGACAAAAGATCTAGCAACATACCCAGCTATCCCATATTATTTATGTTTAAAAGATCAAAGAAAATCATTAACATTCCAGATCTGGCAATGCATCTGGTTTTACATTAAAATATTACACAAAATAATTATTTTGCGAAAACAATAAGAATGTAAGCATACGTTAACCCCACGTAATCACAAATCACAATCATTAAAACTCAAACTTTTGATAATTGCTAGGCATATGTCATGATTCATGAATACTTCTTACACATAACCTCATTAATAACATTAGCAATTACATGTCAATGGTCAAAGGTAGTGACACCCCTCACTTAACTGGCTTGCAACCCAATACAATGTGGTTGCTAGGTATGTGTCATTGTGTCTTGACTATTAGTTATCTTCTTTTGATAATATTGTAAGGACTTAACTTAGAAAAAAAAATGAGGCACACATCCAAACGAGCTTCTAATCAATAATATGTTTTCTATCTTTAGCCATTATTCCTAATTAAGAAGTTAGGAATAGCATCTTGAACTAAGTATCCTATAAATATCAGACATTAGAACATGGCATTATGTTTGACGTGTGGATCAAAGGATCCTAAACATGTCAGCACAGTTGAAAGTAGCATTAAAATGCAAAACCATGGATCCAAAAAATACCACATACCAAGTACTAGGTGTGGCACATGGACCTAAGGATCCTAAAAATATTATAACAAAGTTAAGAAGGTTGCTGCACCAAATGAAACTAAGGATCAGATAAGCATCTGAGATCAGCCACAGTATTGAGTTTGGCAAAGATACCAGATATTTCAGCCTCTTACCCAATTTATGCATTATAACTAGGAAGTAGGAACTATCATCCTGCTTGGCAAACAATTGGTTGAGTTTGGAAGATTCAAGTTAAAGATAATAGATATCTCATATCTAATAAGAAGTATAAGACATTTGGTTCTATTTAATTTTCAGTTAGAGGCAATAGTGGCTAAAATAACATAACAGCATATTTCAGCCCTTTAAGCTAACAGATCCATTCATAAATGAGAAGATATTGATGACCTAATTAACACAGATGTATTGCAAGTATAGTAAGTTTAATTGTTAAAAAAGAAAACTGCATATCACGAGCTAAACACAGACAATACTAGACTTACTAGTAAAAGTATACTCCTGCATTTGTCACCATTAATAAGCTCAAGGATAACTTGGCTAGAAAAAGTAAGTGTGACCACAATTTGGTCCTAATGTGTTAGTATGAAATTCTTAGCACCGAGACATTATAGATTTGGTCGCTTAAGGGGAGGATTCATAAAAAAAGGTCACTTCTAATGTATCTGCATTCTAAAAAAGCTCACTATCTGCTATACACTCTGTCACACTACTAAACTTGGTGAGCCAAATAATTTGCACAAGTACATTGTACGACCTATCATAGCGTATTTATACCCAAGACTCCTTGATAGTGAACTGCTGTACACGATGAACCAAAAAACTTATCCTTAATCTAGCTGTACACATGAGGAAGCATGCAAAGATTATGAAAGACCTCAACTTTTCTCGAATCTATATCCAAAAAGTCCAAGCTTTTCATAAAAAAAAAAGGTCCAAGCTTTTCATACATTCTTTTAGAGCCCATTCACTGCAATATCCTACGGCTAAAGAATCATTACAATTCGGGAAAGTTTAGCTCTGCGCTATCAAAATTGACATGAAGAAATATAACAGATCATAAGAGCAAGAAGACACAGGCTTTTAACAATAATATTTAAAGTGGTGAAGGGAGAACCTTCTCGAGCTCGTCTTGAACCTCTTGAAGCCTTTCAACGGAGAGAACAAGGTCCTGGTCAATGGGATTGGACTCATCATCTTGGGCGGCATCGGCGACCTTAGACTTCTTGCCACGATCCGCCACCATCTTGCTCAGCCCTAGTAGCCGAATTAAACCCTAGAGAGAAGAAGAAGACAGTAAGTGGGGCTTGAGTGCGAAGGAAACTTGCAAGGAAGGTCTTGTAGTGTACGGAGTTTTATTTTGTCACAACACAATCAAAATTAGGTAGTGTCCTGTGGGTGTGCCTAGGCAATCCTGATGCAAAATACTGTTTCAATCATATTGTTTCCCCTCATTTGTCTTGACCAAAGATATACTGTATTTATGTATTTTTCATAATTCTTTTTCATGTTCTATTTCTAATTTGATGATTTTCTTTATTTTAATAATAATGCTGTTCCTAAAAAAAATGTTGTTTGTCCAAAACTAAACTTTAGAAATAGATAATATCTACAAAATAGAAATATGATCTTTGAATTAAAGTGCTTAAGCTTTAGTCTTTATTTTTCAAAAAAAAAAAATCACTCTTAATTCATACAATAATCTCTTTTGTTTTAATTCATATAAACATAAAACAATTAATTCGTTTTTCGGATTGGTTTTAATCAGGGACCATATTTGGTCACATAATATCCAATTATATCTGAGCATATTAAAACGATTTCGATTTAATTAATTAGATCTAACTTACAACACGTGATATTAATTACTTCGTGATAAAGATAAAACGAAATCAAATTTGGGAAGTATAATCTAATCTAAGTAGATTAATTCAAAGCCCAAGACAACACTTAAGACAAATCAAATTATAATGACAAAGTTTAATCCAAACCTAAAACACTTGGTTCAAAATGGTATCATTTTGATCACTTGAGTTGGATAGCTTTCACACTAAATGCGATTGCGGATAGTGTTCAATATATTTCCATTATAGCTGAATCGAATACCAAAACGCATTAAGCAAAGCAATCGTACCATATACATAGAATGTATTATTGGGTGATAATCTCATGTCCAACGCTTACCAAATACATAGAACATGTGAAAATGTGGAAAAGTTCATTAATAATAAATGTGTGCCAAATAAAAAATGGAACTTTAATATCATTTTAGCATTACTTGTAGCACACAATTGTAAATAGATGATGATTATCACATTAGTATGTGTGACGAATCAAACTCAGAAATCAAAACTTTATTGAAGAAGAAGATGAATGAAAAAATATTGCAGAGCTTTAGGTGCGGAAATGATTAACATCAGAATGAAAGAAGTTAACCTAATTACAAAGTCTATGAGGTATTTATACCATTCTATATAATATATAAAATAAAAGGAAATAACTGCAAGCCCACTAAACATTAGATAGGCCCAAGAACTAAATAAAAACAGCCTAATGTATTATTCTTGATACGCCCCCTCAAGAGGAGCATGAATGTCCATCATGTTCATCTGACTGCAAATTGACTGAATAAGGGATTCCCAAATAGTTTTGTGTAAATATCTGCAAGTTGGAAATCATTTTTAATATAAGTTAAAGTAATTAAACCAGAATTAATCTTTTCTCTGACTAAATGACAATCCAGTTCTATATGCTTGGTTCTTTGATGTAGAATAGGATTAGAAAAAATGACCCGCATATTATTGCTGGACTTATGGATTCTAAATATATGACTCGTTTAACATTTCCCAAAAATATGACAAATCTTAACCGTCATCTTCTTTCGCACGCGCAAACCATCGACTCTCTCTGCCTCTTTCTTCGCACCGCACACAGATCCATATGGAGACCAGTCCCTAAACGGCCGCTCCGGTTCTCGTCTCCACCGCGTCGCCTCGCTTGTCTGCCTCCGCGTCGCCTCTCCTCCGCCGGATGCCAGGGTCCCGTTCGTGGCAATTTCAGACGGAGATTCAGATGCTCCGGCGGTAATGGCGAGCCATCGATAATCTCTGCATCTCAGATCTGTTCTGCACCGGTGCATCTCGGATATGTTCTGCATCGGTGCGCATCGGTATATGTTCTCCAGCCTCCTCTTTGCATCAGATCTGCTCGTCTCTTTCGATTGGGGCCGCTTTCTCTTCTGGATCTGCGACCATTTATCACTCCGGGTCCTCATATGGGAATGGACGGCTTGGAAGGGGATATGGACCGACGGCGAAGAGGATGGGCTGGGTAGAGTGTGGAGAGGGTTGGGGGCTGCTAGGGGAGGGGATGAGGGAGCATTCTGGGGGCGGCGGGGTGCGGTGTTTGGCAGTGGCTAGTGAGGGGCTGGTGGGAAGTCAGAGCTAGGGCAGGGGCAAGGGCTGGGGTTTGGATCGCTGGGGCATGGTAGTAAGCAGTATGCTAGGATGGCGGTGCAGGAGTGGTGGTGGTGTTATTGTGGCCGTGGCCGGAATAGGCACTTCACTATGGCGGGAATTGGGTGTCACTATGGGCCCGTGGCCAGAATTGGGTGTCACTATGCCAGGATTGGGATTTCATTGTTGTCGGAATCGGGTGTCACTCTTGTCGGAATCGGGTCACTCTGACCGGAATTGGATGTCAGTATAGCCGTTGTCACTATGGCCAGAGTCACTGTGACCGGAGTCACTGTGACCGGAGTCACTGTGGCGGCGTGGCAGTCACTGTGGCGGCGGGACAGTCATTGTGTTCGGTGGGGCAGTCACTGTGGTTGGTGGGGTCACTTTGGCAGGAGTCACTTTGCCCGGAGTCACTTTGCAATGTTGGTCACATTTTTTGAATTTTTAAAAACAGATCACTTTTTTATCTTTTAGGCTATTTTTAGTAATATTGGAATAAAAAGGCCATAGGATTATGAGCAAGATGATAAGTAGACTTATTATCAATATAAATATTTATAGGCAAAGGAACTGGTATATGTAAATCATTAAAAAATATATGATAACCATTGAGCCTCACAGACAGCATTGGCAACTGCCCTATACTTAGCTTCAGTAGAAGATCTACTAACATTCTAACAACCTGTTGTTTTTTAGATTTCCAAGAAATTAAAGAATTACCAAGGTAAACAACATAACCTGAAACACTTCTTCTAGACTTCTAGTATCTTTGCAGGCTGCCCAGTCAGAGTCAGTATATCTTTGAATAGAAAAGTCAGAAATGCGGGGATAAAATAAACCTTTACCTGGAGAATTCTTAAGGTATCTGATAATTATGTGAGTTGCACTTAGATGAATATTAGTGGGAGAAAAGAGAAATTGACTAAGGACTTGTACACTATAAGCAATATCAGGCCTAATTACAGTTAGGTAAAGCAGTTTACCAATTAGGGTTCTATAGGTCTTAGGATTTTCTAAAACAGTTCCATCATTTTTAGACAATTTAATCTTAGAGTCCATAGGAGTAGTTTAAGGTTTAGAGTGGAGATACCCATATTCTGTTAAAATGTCTAAAATGTATTTTCTTTGGCATAGATTTATGCCTTTATCAGATCTAGCAATCACAACCCCTAAAATGTATTTTAATTCACCAATACCTTTAATAGTAAATTTATTGTGTAAAAAAGTTTTAACAGCATTGATTTCTTCTATACTGTTTCCAGTTAAAATGATATCATCTACATATATTAAAAGGACAGTAAAACAGTTATAAGTGATTTTAGTGAATAAAGAAAAATCAGCCTGAGATTGTTTATAACCAAAGAGTATTAAAGAATCAGAAAGCTTACAAAACCATTACCTAGATGCTTGTTTGAGACCATAGAGGCTTTTAACAAGCTTGCAGACCCTGTTATCTGTAGGAAGTAAATAACCTGGAGGAGGCTGCATAAAATATCTTCATTTAAGTCACCATGTAAAAAAAGCATTGTTTACATCAAGTTGGTGTAAAAACCAGTTTCTAGCACTAGCAATGTATTGCCAATATAATCCTGACACTAGTTATCTTAACAACAGGGGAGAAAGTATCGAAGTAATAAAAACCCTCTTCTTGAGTATAGCCTTTTGCCACTAATCTGGCTTTATATCTATCTAAAGATCCATCAGGTTTAAGTTTTGTTTTAAAAACCCATTTACAACCTATGATGTTCTGATTAGGAGGAGGTGAAACTAAAATCCAAGTTTTGTTGTTCTCTAAACCTTGAATTTCATTAATCATGGCAATCTGCCATTCAGGAATTTTAGAAGCCTATTTATAAGTTTTAGGTTCATGGATCTTGGAAAGGGCACCAATAAAACAAGAATAAGAAGTACTTAATCTATTATATGTTATATGATTTTTAATGGGATATTTAACAAGGTTACATGAAGAAGAAGAAGAAGAAGAAGGAGGAGGAGAAGGAATACTTGCAGTGATAGAGTTAGGTAATTCATAACTGTAATCTTGTAAATGAATAGGTATAGACCTTACTCTGGTTGATTTTCTTTGGTGCTGATCCTCTGAAGCTGTGACATTGTCATTAGCAGTATCATTGATATTCATAGTATTAATTTCATCATCTATATGGTTTTCTAAATAATGATTATTAAGGATGTTATACTCATAAGTATAATCATCAGAAGTGGAAGAATGTAAAATAGAGTCAGAATTGACAGAATCGTGATTAGAAGAATCAGAAATATTTTTATAAGGAAAAATCATTTCATAAAATTTTACATTTCTTGATATAAAGAATTTGTGATTGGAAATGTCATAGAGTTTATATCCTTTTGAACCAAGAGGATATCCAAAAAAAACAGTTTTTGCAGCTCTTTTATCAAACTTTGATCTATATACTCTTAGATGAGAATAATCAGGCAGTTTACCATATAATAATTCATAAGGAGATCTATTATTAAGAATACCATTAGGAATTCTATTTATAATATGAACAGCAGTAAGAATGCGGTCAGACCAAAAAGTGATAGGCAAACATGATTGAAAAAGAAGAGATCTAGCAACTTGAAGAATATGTTGATGTTTTCTTTCAACCCTAGCATTTTGTTGAGGAGTTTCAACACAAGATAATTGGTGAATTATGCCATTATCAATATAAAAAGAAGGAAAAATAAATTTAGTTCCATTGTCAGTTCTAATAATTTTGATTTTAGTATGAAATTGAGTAAGAATCAGATTATAAAAATTGAGCATATGAGTTTTAACTTCAGATTTATTTTTCATCATAAAAACTCAGGTACATCTAGTATGATCATCAACAATGGTTAAAAAATATTTGAAGCCATAATAAGATGGAACCCTAAAAGGTCCCCAAACATCCATATGAACAAGATCAAAAGCATCAGAAGCATAAGAAGTACTACCA